GTTTGTTTGCTTATTTATTTATATGCAGTGCTGAGAATTGAACTCAGTGCCTCCCACATGCAAGAAGAACTCCACCAATGAGCCACAACCCCAGCCCCCCCACCCCCGTTATTTCTTAATGTTGACTTTTAATTTTTAAAAGCTAAGATATCACTCAGCTACCTTAAAGCAAGCAAAGCACGTGGATTTTTGCTTGTGTTGACCTTGAGACACTACCGTTGAGATCCAGCTGGACAACTGAGCCCAGCACGCCCCTGGCCCTTGCTGACCTCCATCCTGTGGTCAGGTTTGCCTGGTCTCCAACATCAGGTAGATGGCAACGCCCTAGGTGTCTTCTCGGCATCTGCCTCTTCCACTTGAGCACAGCGTGGCTGTGAGACGCCCCCCACCCAAGACGGATCTGAAGTTTCTTCCCTTGATGGCCGAGCTGAGGGGCCCCCTGACCGCTCGCCACCACTGCTCTTTCCCGTTCTTCCTGGACAGTGTTCAGACTGTTTCCAGTGTGGGGTGATCCTGCGATGGATTTTCTTGTGTAGGTTAACTTTATTTGGAGTCGATAATGCAATCATATGACACCAGGAAAATTCAATAGTTTTCTAGGGTTTCTATAACAAGTTTCTACAAACTTGGGGGCTGAGAACCCCCCAAGTTTATTCTCCATCATTCTGCAGGCTCAAAGTCCAAAATCAAGATATCAGCAGAACGATGCTCCCTTCAAAGGCTTCATGGGAAACTGCCCCTGCCAAGCTGGTGGCCCCGGGTGTCCCTTGACTTATGGTGGCATTGCTCTAATCTCTGCCTCTGACTTCACTCCTTAAATTTAGGGTCCACCCCAATCCCAGAAGAGATCATCTGAAGACATTTAACCTAGTTATGCCTATAACTGCCCATTTTCCAAGTAAGGTCACATTCACAGGTTACAGGGATTAGGACACTGATGTTGGGATATGCCCTTGGGGCAGATTCAGTTCACACCATGACAAATCCCAAATGCATGAAGTAGAAGGAGTCCCTTTCCAGCCCTGGCTCCAACCACCCACTGCCCTCCACAAATGTGTGCTTCCAGAGACAGTTACTAATACATAGGAATATCTGTACCCGTCTGTGTCATTTTTACCTGAATAATAACTCGATTGCAAGATACTAGCTTAGACACTGACCTTCCCTTCTAACTGCAGATTAATGGCCACCCCTCCCCAGTAATACTGCAGTGCCTCAGTCTCGGTTTTTGTGTTTCAGTTCTGGGGACTGAGCCCAGAGCCCCCCACACTCCAGTCAAGCACTTAGCTACATCCCAGACCTTTTTATTTTATTTTGAGAAAGGATCTCTCTGTGTTACCCAGACTGATCTCCACCTTGGAATCCTCCTGCCTCAGCCTCCAGAGTAGCTGGGACTAGAGGCGTGGCCACAGTGCCCCCTTCTTTCGAACAGCTACATAGCTCCCCATTTATGGATGAACCAGGTTTGTTAATTTAAGCATTGCCCACTCCGTGGACCTTCAAACTGCTTTCAATCATTGGCTCTTTCCACCTGTGCTCAAAGACTGTCTGCAAGTGATGTCTTTGTCCAAGTGCATGAGTCTAAAATGACTGGCTTCCCTTCCTCACTTCATTTTTGTTTATTTGTTTTGGTACCAGGGACGGAGCTCAGGGGCGCTCAACCACTGAGCCACATCCCCAGCCCAATTTTGAATTTTATTTAGAGATAGGGTCTCACTGAGTTGCTTAGTGCCTTGCTTTTGCTGAGGCTGGGATTACAGGCATGATCCGCCCCGCCCAGCTCCTTCCTTACTTAAAAAAAAAAAAGACATGGTAGCTGGGCCCAGTGGTGCACTCTTGTAACCCAGCAGCTGGGAGGCTGAAGCAGGAGGATCAAAAGTTCAAAGCCAGCTTCAACAAAAGCAAGGCACTAAGCAACTCAGTGAGACCCTGTCACTAAATACAATACAAAATAGGGCTGGGGATGTGCCTCAGTAGCTGAGTGCCCCTGGGTTTAATCCCCAGTACCAAAAAACAAAAATAAATTAAAAGACAATATAATAGGATTAAAAACTACTTTTAATTTTTATTTTAAACAATACCTTTATTTTGGGCTGGGGCTGTAGCTCAGCGGCAAAGTGCTCACGTAGCATGTGCGGGGCCCTGGGTTCAATCCTCAACACCACATAAAAATAAATAAAGATATTATGTACAACTACAACTAAAAAATAAATATTAAAAAAAAATCATGGGGCTGGGGATGTGGTTCAAGCGGTAGCACATTCGCCTGGCATGCGTGTGGCCCGAGTTCGATCCTCAGCACCACATACAAAGATGTTGTGTCCGCCAAAAAAAAATTTTTTTAAAAATACCTTTATTTTATTTATTTATTTATTTTTATGTGGTTCCCCGGGAATCGGCCCCAGTGCCTCGAGTGTGCTAGGCAAGTGCTCTACCACTGAGCCACAACCCCGGGCCCCTATTTTTGATTTAAAAAGTCTTCCTTTACCCACCCCCTGCCCCAGCCCTCTGCGTGTCCTTTCCATCCACAATCGGAAGCATTTGCAGAGCTGCAGACACAGGCACGCATCCTCTTCATTCTGCTCCATAGATACCACTCGTCTCCTAAGAGTTTTCCATCCTGCTCCTCGGTCATCAAAGTTACATTTCCGTTGCTGTAAAACAATGTCACTCACCGGACAAATGGGACATGATAAGACTAGCAAGCCATGGAAACCACTGCCCTCCACGGGTGCTCAGTTTTGTCTTCTCTTAATGTAATACCACTGAGGACATCTTCTTTCCAATAGCTTTTTAATAAAAAAGGAAAGATAGATTTCCAAGCACAGCGTTATTCAAAGACGGTGAACAATTGGCTGTGCTAACCTCGGGTTGCCAAACTGCTTTTCCAATCCATACTGACATTGGGGTGAGGGTCCTGCCCGGCTCCCAGCCCTGGCCCAGCAGCTACCTTTATCAAAAACATCACATCTAGGGCCTTCCTGAAAGTCCCTTCCACCTGGATCTGTTTGATTTCTCTTCTCCTCCAGCCATGCTGCTGTGGATTCCCAGATTCCGAGGGACCTGGCGTTGGACCACAGTGTGGCTCCCTGGTGCTTAGATCAGCAGGCCTGGCACGTGGTAGGTTCCAGCTCAGTGGGTGCTGAGTGAATTAATGGGTGACTCATCTCCTGCTTGTGTGTCAACTCTCCTTACCCAATTCTACCGCGTCTTCCCGACATCGGGCAGCATCATTCAAAAAACTGCAAATAGAATAAAATGGCACTTTAATCTTAGTTTCTCTGGCTTAGTCAACTGCCTGTGGCTGGGATAGTCACAGATAGTCTGTGTTGAAACCAGAACTGAAGGACCCCTGGCCTCCCCATGTAACCCAGTGTCTCAACCATCTTTGGCCTGGTCCCTTGTGCATGCTCCAGGGTACCAGCCTCTCTGATGGTGACTGGCTCCCTCTGACTTGTGGGGCTCCCTCTCCCTTGGTTTTTGAGGTGGCCAGCTCAGGTAGGAGCTCCCAGGCCCCAGAAGCCAGCCTCACCCTAGCTGTCCCTTGAGGGGACAATCTTGGTGGCTGGACATTTTTCCATTGAATTTGTTTACTCTTTGCATTGTCTCCTGGGCCCCTGTGGGTTCTGGGCTCTGGGATTTGCATGCCTTTTCACTGGGAGTTGGGCTTGGGTTGTTTTGCTGTCAGTTTCTTCCTTGGTATATTTTTGTTCTTTTCTATCACCATGACATGGAAGATGGATCTGAATTGTTTGTTTTTTATGTAAAAAAAAAAAAAAATAGGGAGAGGAAATTGCTATGTCATGCTGTTCTTGTTGAAGTGTGTGTGTGTGTGTGTGCACGGGTGTGCACACATGCCCGATCATATCAGTGAGTGCTGCGTTCTGAACCTCACCTTGTGTGTCAGGAGCACATAAGGCATTTGGGGAGAAGAGGGTGAAATGTGCCCAAAACAGGACAGACAGCAAAACGAGAAGCTTTGATGACCACACTCTTGGGTGCAGTTTTTCATGGGGCCCAGCCCTCTTCCCTACCCACTGGGTTTTCAGCTAATACTGCTGATGGAATGAATTCTACCTGATTTCTTTTATGGTAGACACAGGGGGAGCCCCAACTCAGGGGGGACTTGTGTATCTAAGTCTTCTCCACAGAAATATCGCCACTCTCCAGACAAAATTTGGTGTTTCTCTTTTAGTGCATATTTCCTGGTGACTTCAGGTTTATATGTTTAGATTTGGGGATTTTTTTTTTTCCTGGGAAGAACGATTTTTGGAATATTTGCATGTATATTCACAATGAGCTATCTTGGGGACAGGATCCATGAAATTCATTTATGTCTCATGTATGGCTTAGGATCAAAGCCTGAAGGTAAATTTATACAACAATCTTAGAGTTCTGTCCCCAAAAGTCTCCTGTGGTGTGGAATTTTCCGCTTGCAGCTTCCGGTCGGCGCTCCGGATGGGTCTGCGCTCTGGATGTTGCAGTTTGGTGCACCTGGGACTCGGGCTAGGGATGCTCACCCCGTGTTTCCCATTTACGTTTGCAAAGACTAGAAGTCACATTTTTGTGTTTTCAGGCTGTGCTTAAATGGCACCACGCCGGCCGCCACTCTGCAACTTGCTTTCCTTGACGGCTTCCACTCTCCCAGCTGATCCCCTCCGATGGTGTCCTGCAATGAATCATCCATTCTGGGACAGCGATGGCTGTCCTAGCTCCCAGGGCTACCTCAGCAAGCTCCACAGACCCAGAGGCCTAAACAACAAAATCATTCTCTCACAGTCCTAGAGGTCCAAGGTCCAGACTCAGGTGTGGCCAGGGAGGCTCCCTCTGGCAGGGAGGGAGGGTCTGCCCGGTGGCTCCTCCCAGCTTCCAGCAGCCGCAGGCATTCCCCCGCTTGGGCTGCCTTCTCCTCCATCCACCCTGTCCTTTTCTCTCTATGCATTTCTGTCCTAGAGTCTAAACTCCCCCCTTTTTACAAAGGACACCAGTTATTTTGGACAAGGACCCTCTATAACCTCATCTCAGTGATGATCAACACAGACCCTGTTTCCAAACAAGGCCACATTCACACACCCTGGGTTAGGACATCACCGTCTTTGGAGTGAGTGTGTGTCCCAGAACAATGGCCAAATAGGTGATTTCTGATTTTCAATCTTCAAATATACTTCTGTAGTCTGGGGATATAGCTCATGGTACAGCGCTTGTCTAGAAGGAGGCGGCTCAAACACACTTGGGGAACTACCAAGATCACGTCCTAGTCTACATGAGGGCTGTGTTGAGGGCTGTGTTGAGGGGTGCCCCAGGGACTTCACTTCTCTAGGATGTGCCTCTCCAGCCTGGCAGCAGTTTAGAATCACCTGGAAGCCTTAGAAAATGCAGTGCCCAGGCCCTACCCAGAGATCTGACTTAATGGGCTGGAGGAGGGCCCAGCTGCAATCAGACTGCAGCCAGGGCCGAGGCTGCTGGACTGGCTCCCTGCTCCTCAGAGTGTGTTTCTCAAACCAGCTGCAGCAGCCCTGGGAGCTGGGGAGAAAAGCCCATGCTCCCCGGCCCCCACTCCATCTCCAGGAAGCTCCCTCTGGAGGGGTGGTCACTCTGTTAGTGGCTGTAACAAAACACCTGAGACAATGTCAAAAGAGGAAAAAGTTCATTTGGACTCTTGGTTTCAGATGTTGGGTGCATGGTCAGTCAGTGGCCCTGCTGCATTTGGGTCTGTGATGAGTGAGGCAGCCTATCGTGGTGATGGTGGGAGGGAGTGGTGGAACAAACCATTCACCTCTTGACTAGGGGTGAAAGAGGAAGAGGAAGAGACCAGAGTCCTGTGATGCCCTTTGACCTAACTGTAACCGAAAGCTCAGTCCCCATCCTCCATGCCAATTCAATAAGAAGACAAGGTCTTGAGAGAAAGGAAAAGGGGTCATTGCTTTGCTAGCAAAGGAGAAACACAGGCACCCCTGTCCCAAAGGCTGTGATTCTGCCCACCTGCAGGAACAGGGGGCGGTTTATAGAAGTGATTCAAAGAAAATGAGATTGGGGAGGAGAGATCAGGAAGGAGAAGGTTAGAAAAAAGAAGATCTGGGAGGAGAAGAATGGGAAAAAGAAAAAAAAAACATGTAAATCTCAAAGCCATGAGGGATGGAGTCAAAGCATCAAGTGAACCCCGTTACATAACCTCGCTCTACGCCCTACCTCCAAAAGGCATCTACCCCCTTCTAATTCCAGGTCCAAACTATAGCAGCCACCCAACCCATTGTCGGTCCTGCCTGCCCCAAGAACAAACCCAGCTGAACCTGCAATTGGAGTTGTGTTCCTGTGCTAGAGGCTGCAGAGATGGGTGTTGGATTAGTTTCTGGTGGCTGCT